AGCCAACTGCTCAAAGTTTGATTGATATACTTCCACTGTTGTTGTCTGAGATAATCTACCCAATTCTTCTCTCAGATCTCTATACCTTGAAGGACCGAACCTAGCTCGCAAGGCCCCTAAAAATTGCTGCCATGTATGCAACCGCTCATTACAATCCATCCAATGATACCATTCTTCAGCCTTACCATCCATATGGAATGATGTCAGTGTAAATTTGTCAGCATCGGTTAAAGCATGGAATCCATAGAATTGTTGGATCTTATGAATCCACGGCTCAGGATTACCTTCATTGAAGCGAGGAATTGTCAGCTTAACAGATTTGAAGACATTATTGCTGAATAGACATCCAAGTCCCTCACCAGATGAGTTTTCTCCCTTCATCTTATGTTTTTGGTTCTGATCTATTTTTGCCTCCATCATAGTTAGTTTTAAATTCATTTCCTGCAACAGATTGCCCAAGGAATTGAACTGCTCCTCGTGGTGTGCTATTCTGGACATACACTCTTCCATAGCAGTCTGATGTTTCACAGGGCTTCGAGTTCCCTCTGTCATGATGATGATCAGAAGTTTCTCTCAATGAGAGCGCCAAAAATGATAGGTTCAACGCACAATTGAAATTGAAAGACAATGTATTAAGGAAATTTAACAGCAATTCGAGTTTGCTGGCAACTCCAAGAAATTCAGAGAGAAGAAGAAGAAGACTCTATTACAATATTCAATACCCTATGCAAGAAACGTGACTCCTATTTGAGCTGAGTAACAGACTCAACATTCAGCCATTGGGCCTTACGGGTGTGGCCCAGCCCTTATTAAACTCCATACTGACTCATCTACTATCAGTAAGCAATTGGGCTTCGATTACAGCTAAGCCCACATTACTCCAGCACATAGTCCTTTACCCACTTGGATCTCATTTTGACCCGTGTCCCCCTTCTAGGACCTTCACCACCGTCTACCTCTTCTCTGTTTGTATTCAACGCGTCTCCCACTCCAGTACCCACGTTCCCATCTCTCCCTTCGTGTCCTGGAGTCGTATCAGCTACGCTGACCACTAACATTTACGTTTTAATCTGGTTAATGGAATCAGATTTTAATATTTTCAAAAACAGTTTTTAAGTATTTTTTAAAAAAAAAAAACAGAGAGAGAACTTATTCGATAAATGTTTTTTTTTTAAAATGATTTTCAAGATAGTAATTATTTTTTGGTTTCTAAAACTAAAATTAGATAACAACCTCAAAAAGTTATTTAGGAAGATGCTCGTATGAATCAGGCACCTACATAAACCTACGACATTAATTTAAGAAGCAAGCAAATCAAATGATATAGTTATACTATAGAATATGGTTAGCATCAAGTGGCAAATGTCAAGTGTGATTCAAACAAATAACTTAACATTTAAGTGTAATTGTACTTATACATATTCAGTTATTCACTAACAGCTGTTAGAAATTTATATAATAATTGTGGGCTTCAATCAATTGTTGTTTTTCTTGTTTTAATAAAAACAGGTTAAGTTATGATCCATATAGGGGTACAGTATAAAGCCCAGTTAATTAGTGATCTTTTTGATTTGGGCTTGGATATCTGTAAACTGATTAGTGTGGATAACAGTGTAGGCCTAACCCATAGGCCCATGATGGGAAGGAGACTAGGGTTAATAAGTTTGACTAGGTCCCTCTGCATTCACCCTCTGCATTCACAATGTGTTGAAAAAATCGTCACTCCACAACTCGCCCCATCGACGGTTGTAAAGAGGAAGTGGTGTGAATTGCAGAGGAAGATCCTAATCCTTCAACCTTTGCAGGAATATCGGAGCAAGCACTGCACTTTAGATATCAACAAGAATCATGTCGTAAACAAGTAAGCCTAAACTCTTTTGTTCTAAAATCATAATCTTATTTTATGAAACTTCTTACAAAAGGTTCATTCATTACATATTTTATATGACAATAGAGCTACAGCTACTTTATATACTGACTATTCAACTAAGTCCTGTGATAAAATGACACAGTAATTTGATTAAACAATTTCATTTCAAACATTCAAATTGCAGAAACATGCATGTGGATTTTCATTAGAAATATAAATTCAGGCATGCTAATTAGATTAAACAACAAGGGGGAAGACTAAGTTTAAAAACCTTAAAAACTGTGAGGTTTTCAACGAGGGGCCTTCCCAAAAGGTGTTCAATCCTAATAAAAGGTTGTATGGATCATAAACTTACGTAGCAGAAGTTGTGTGCGAATGCTTTAGTTGTCCGTCTATCTGTGCATAGGTGTAATGTAATGGCCTCTCAATTATTATGCAATTCCATCCCTTTTGGGTTTGAGCAAGCCTGATGCAATATCCAAAACTGCTTCTTGTGGCCCAATATGTTACGAACAAATAGATTGGGGTCATTGGGTCAGCGCAATCTGTTTTGCTCCATTGGCCCAAAATTCAAACAAGTACTTTAAAGCCAATTATTCAATATTTTTGTTGACTTGGTAGACATGGCTGGTACATGCCAGAGTTCAATAATAATTAAAGAAGATTGAAATTTGAACGTGTATTGAGCATGTCATTACTTATTAAATGTCAAATATGAAGGAGATATCGAAGCAGCTGGAACACAACACAGTTCTCATTTAATGATTTCAACAACCAACCAAACCCATTCGAGCAAAAAAACAACCAACAAACCCAAACATATTGCTATTCTGTTTGCACAATTTAACATCGGTTGTTTATACTAAAGATGGTAATTATACTCTTTCTATTGTAATTCTTACATAAATATAATGAACTATATCATATTTACACGTTAATCATGTGTTAATATTTGATCTTTTTAGTACACCCATTATAGATTATTAGATTTATGCAAAATTTTCTCCCTTATTGCTTTTTTTTTTTTTGAATTAAATAAAGCTAATCATTTTCTGGGGTATGTTTAATAATTCAATATTACGAGAATAATATTGTTCTAAAATTTTGTCTTTTTCTTCTTGCTATAATGATGCTTCAAGTTTACATTTTTTGAAATCATTATTAACTCGTTATTGAGGATTGCTCTTTTTTTCCTTTTTTTTAATCCACCATTCTTCTTTTGTTTTATAAAGTGTAAATCTTTATCATTTAAAATAAATTAAAAAAAAAACTCAGTCAAAACAATTGTCACACAAAAAAACTGGTGACGACGACTATAGTAATTATAATATCTCGATCAATTAATTGCATAAAATAATATAAATTCATGAATAAAAACAAAAACTTATAATATGCCAAATTAATATTATGTGCATAAAGGGCAAATAAGAGTGTCATGATCCAACTAACTTCAAATTCAAAAAAAATTATTGATAAGTGATCCATAATTTTATTATAAATTTATTATTTTATCTTAACTTTGAAATAAGGAGAACCTTTTCTACTCGTAAAACTTCATATTCCCGTAAAACTTCATAAGCGATGTAATAATGCTGAACCAACGTCAAAAAGCACCAAGGACTTATAATGTAATATATGCTATTATGCTGAACATAAAATATGTTGAAAGCTGTGTGTCAGTGCGAAAAGATGCATCGAGCACTCAATTAGGGTATACTTTTACTTCTCTATTTCAAAAACAATAGTAATAATAAATTTGCTACTAATTTAAAACATATTTAAAAGTCAAGTCTCTTTATATTCTAATGCTTAATTGTGTGATGATGGGCATGGCCTCATCTTTTGAAATGTTATAAAGCAAGAAGAGGAATAATAGAATCCTTGCTTTGCTTTGTTTCACCGGGTTTCTTTATTATTCTTTTTCGTGCAGTATCATTTTTTAATACTTGAAATAGACCCCGAGTGAAAATGAGCAAAGAACCAAGAATTATTAAATGAAAAAAGTAAATGTTATCTTGTCAATTGGATTAAATTAATTTTAAAGTAAAAAAAGTAATTAAACTAATTTAATTCAATTTTTTATAATATATCTGATCGATTTAAATTAAAAGATAATTTTATTTTATTTTTATTTTTTTACATAAATTCGATTTCGTTAAAATATATAAAAATACAAAATTTTAAATTTATTTCCAATCCAACATTATATTTTCAAATTAAAGAAAGAGAAATAAGTTTGATATATATATATATTAAAAAATAAATATTCAGTGACTGGACTATGTATTTTCGGAGGTAGATAGTTATAATAAATTATAACTATGTACACTTGTGTACTTATAACTATGTATTTTCGAAGTACATAAGGAACCGCACCAAATCTTAGGTGCAGTCACTGTATATTTACTTTACCCATATATTATGTATTATCGGTAAGATTTCACTCAGGAGTGTATGAAAAAATAAATATTCAATGACTGGACGGTCCAGTGCACTATGTACTACTCGAAGTACATAGTTATAATAAATATTATAACTATATATGCTGGTATACTTCCGGGATTACATAATTATAATATTTATTATAATTATGTACTTTCGGGATACATAGTGAACCACATCAAATCTTAGGTGCAATCGTTGTACATTCGCTTTATCCATATATTATGTCTTATAAATAAGACTTTACTCAAAAGTGTCTTACCGATAAGATATACTATAGTTTGCAAAAATTTGTAAACAAGAAATTTGTAAATATAATCTTTCGCGTATTATATATATATATATATATATATATATATATATATATAAAGATTAGGAATAACATAACTTTTTTTAAAGTAAAACATTATTTAAAAAATATAACAATTAAATTTTAATTCAGTTAATTTTAAAATTTTAGAATTTTTTTTTATTTTGGGTCACCGGTCGGCTATTTATTAAACGGCCATTTTTAATAATGGCCATATGCAAAAATTATTATTAGAAAAATACAGTAGCCGATAACTTTGATATGATATGATAATAATCCATTGAGACGTTGTGCTTTGTTGTTTGAAAGTGACTACCATGTACCGTCATCTGCTATTATTTTGGTATTTCAATATTATATATTTATATAAATTATGTTCTTTGCCTTCTCTCTCTTTTTCTCTAAATCTAATCGGAATCTTCCCAATTAATCAGCTTTGAGTTGATAAGACTGGTGGATGTGTCATCTCTATTTCTTTTCTTTTTTTTTGAAGGTTGAAGATTGTTATTATTCCTGGTGAGGAAAAGTCTCCCTCTAAATTAAGTTCCTTTCTTTCTTTCTTAATTATCTGAACAATCTTAATTATTTCGAGGTAATAATATTCCTGGGTCTTTGATCATTTGGCTTGATGTCAGCTTTTGTTTGGTCTCATGTTTTGGTTTAAGGTTGTTTTTTTTTGGGTGTACCATAATTCAGCCATAACTAACCGATGTGCTCTGCCTCCTCAGTCCTCGGATAATATTCTTTCTCTGAAACGTGTTGAAGAATCCTTAGATGTGTGTGTCCTTGTTTTGACATTAAATTATCCTTCAATATGTCACTCTTGAAACTGGTTTCTCTGCTGTTTTTATTGAAATCTTAGAGTAATTGGGATGAGTGAGCTTGTCAAATTGGCAATTTTTGGGTTCTTCAGTGAAATGGGTGTACTTTTTCCTTGAGTACCTTCTCTAATTTGCTTTTCGTGTAAAGCCTTGAAATTTGATGGATTATATTGCTATTACTTTATGCAATTCATCAAAGTAATAATTTTCGGTTGAATCAAAGTTTGATTTATGTCTTTCCATCATGATGGGGGGCTCACGGTGTATTCAAAGGAGATGATTTAGGATCATGATAGAGTGTCTTTGTATATGATCCACCACTTAGGAAAAAGTTCAATTTTTGTGCCCTCATTACTCAAATTTGTTCATCATTTAATGCAGGTCTTTAGAAAATACTTTCTTTGAAGCTGTAAATATTTACAGACCATTATCACCGGATGGGGTCTGAAGGTCCTCCAGCAGCAGCAGTAACAACAGTTCATGTAACAGGTTTCAAGAAATTCCATGGAGTTTCAGAGAATCCAACGGAGACAATTGTCAATAAGTTAACGGAGTATATGAAGAAAAAGGGTTTACCAAAAGGTTTAGTTATTGGGAGCTGCAGCATTCTTGAGACTGCTGGTCAAGGAGCACTTGTTCCCCTCTACCAGACATTGCAATCTGCCATTAGTGCCAAAGAGTCTGAATCTTCAAGTTCCAATAGAATGATCTGGGTGAGTTTCTCTTATACATGATTTGTAGGTTCACAGTTTGTATTCTTTTATTAATCCATCTAAATTTCTCATTTATGTAATCAGATCAAGATTTTTATATCTCAATGAATTTTCGGGTGAGTTTCTTACAATTAAAACATAAAAAATGTGAGACAATATCATCTAACATGGTAGACAGATCAATCCAAGACTATTTAATTGTATTCCTTGTTCCCCTGCCTACACTAATTGCAGTTTGCAGTAACTGCAGATGTACATAATATTTTTCTGATAACTTGAAGTAAATAAGGTTTAGTGTTGACCGTAGCATTGGATAATCTGTGACTATTACTCTGATAAAGTCTTCTCGTTAAAAGCTACTATGCAATTATTAGTGTCTTAATATTTAAAGCTTCTGGATATATGTTCAGCTGAAATTTTAGCATAGAACTAAAATGAAACTTGTATTGGACTTTCTTTCTTAGTACCCTAAGAGTAATGCTAAGGATGAACTAAAAAGGATCACAGTGAAAGGTGGACGGTCTTAAGATCAACTCTTAGGCATAAGAACCCTTTGAAAAATGGTTAGAAGGCACCCAGTTGAATAGGACTTGGCTTGGTTGGATTAAGCTATCTTAAATCTGTATTTTGTAGTCATTTGATTATATTTTCATTTATACATCGATGAATCTTACGTTCTGGCTGTTTATGGTTATGGTTATTCAGCTGCATTTTGGAGTTAACAGTGGTGCAACAAGGTTTGCTATAGAGCGTCAAGCTGTGAATGAGGCTACCTTCCGTTGCCCTGATGAAATGGGATGGAAGCCCCAGGTTAGATTGGAATAGTGGATGCATGTTAAACTTGCTTTCATCAAACCTTTACACTTGATCTTAAAGAACTCTGTTCTACTTTAGTTAAATTTCCAAAATTTGTATGTTGCAGAAAGTCCCCATTATTCCTTCAGATGGTGCAATTTCACAAATACGGGAGGTAAATTAGATCACTGATTTTTCTTACAATTAAATTCCTAAACTAATGTTTAGCCCTAAGATAGTAATGTTAAAGTTTATTTTTTTTCATATAGAAGATCGTTTATTTTGTGTCCTTGCAAGTATTTCAAGGTGCTTCTATTTGTTTATTTGTTTTACACCGTGGTGATTTCATATTATATTTTAAGTATCATTTAGCAGACTTTTCAATTGTCTTTGGGGCCATAGCATGTAGAAATTTTGTGCTCTTCATTTGTCAAAATCAAAACTTAAAAGTAAGGAGGTATAGATGAATTGTTTGTTTTATCTATCAGTGCCTCTTGATGAAGGCATGTATAGGTACATGCATATAGACAACATGAAGCAAATGACATAATAATTGCTGTATCAAAATTTTGGCATAATGATTTATCCCTGTCTTCATCTATCATATGATTTTGTGTCTTATGTCCTAACTTTATGTAGACTTCCCTTCCTGTGGAGGAGATAACCAAGGCCTTGGCAAAGAAGGGTTATGATGTAATGACATCTGATGATGCGGGCAGGTTTGTGTGCAACTACGTTTACTATCATTCCCTTCGTTTTGCCGAGCAAAACGGGATCAAATCCCTTTTTGTGCACGTGCCACTCTTCTTTACAATTGATGAAGACATCCAAATGCAATTTGCTGCTTCCTTGTTAGAGTTACTTGCTTCAATATGTAAGTAACATCTGGCTCATATAAATTGTTCTGGTCTTGCCATGCTTATGAGACTGGATGAGTGTACCTTGAATGAAATGTTATAATAATAAGAATATTGTTTTCAAATGGAAACGGTTTATTGAAAATGGCATATGTAGCAGAGGCATTTGCTTTCACTGTTAAGTGTTTCTGATTAAAAGCTTCAGCAAATTGTCAAGACAGACAAGTTGACATCTTCAGTGTTACCTTGTCAGTAAATGTTCATTTTCCTTAATACTGCTATTGTTTTTCATTGTATCTTGAATGAACTTCTCTATTTTTCCTTGGATACTCAATAGATTGCTGAAGGCTATTCGCAGGTCTGATAAAACCATTTGTAGTTGATTTTTATCAGTTATATCACTAACAACTTCTTTGTGATATGACTGAAATGTCACGTGTTCGAATTCGGAAAATAACCTCTTTACAAATATGTAAGGGTAAGGCTGTGTACAAGGATTGCTTTCTTCACTACCCTTGCTAGTCTAATGGGAAGTTTTTTTTTTAATCACTTACTACTTCCTATCGTCTGGGAAGTCTTTGGGTAAGTTTTATGTGGCAGTGTGTTGAGATTATACGAAATAATTGAGGGAAAATTTATGATTTAACTAATTCATCCTCCAACAAAAAGAGGGGTAAAAAGAAGAACTCAGACCCAAGAGATTAATAAAGAAATCCGTGGCTATTTTTATTTTTATTTTGGGGGGAATCACATATAACTTAGAATGTTGACTAACCTTACATGCTAATTGGATGATACATGTGACATATTTCAGTCTTTCGGTTTATTTGAGACCAATCTAATTTAGTTTTACAGTAATTTAAAACAATTCGTTAGTTACCTACACATAGTTTGGTCTCTAAATCTGAACACACTACGTTTTTGTTTATGGATAAAAAATTTAAACTCGAACACAACTTACCACAGGTTCCAGGTCATATGGATTGACACATAAAAATTGAAAATGTGATTTTTTTTTTAAAAAAAAATAACTTAAAATTAACGAGAAAAAATAATAAAATATGCAAATTCAAATTGGAAATGGAATTGAGGGCTGTTCTTGATTTTTAGTCCTTAGACTATGAAATTGGAGCTCATAAAGAACCTAATGGCCTGCATCAGAAAAGTCAATGACAAGTTTTCAGGTTTCTTGCTCTTAAAATATTTCCAAAAACACAATACCTAACAACATGCAACTATTTCTGCAGACTTACCACTGGGCTATCACATGAACCGTGCTGTGTTGTTCCATTAGTTCCCTGTTAAATCTAAAATTAAGTAATAGAAAATAACTACCAGCAGTGTAGTATGGTGTCAAGAAGGTAAAATAACGTAAGAACAATGTTTACTTTGTGAGGTTTACAATGAAGTTTCCACCATTTCTCTCCTCTGGCATCAATAAGACCGTCACCCTCCATTGACAGTCCATTGATTCTGCAGAAAACTAGCCATTGTTCCTTGTCCATGAATCAGGTCCATCAGGAGGCATAACATTACCATCAACCTTTGGTCATCCAAGAAGAAAATAAGGAAGAAAATTGATCAGATTTAGCCAAAGGTTAGTGGTAACATATAAATACATCACGTGCTTTAATGGCATAGCATCGTCGCACACTAAATTTACCTTAAAGAGTGAGGCCAGATTTACAAGGCCCTGTGAATATAGTAGACTGTACCATGAATATATGAACATTTGGAACTAGAGGAGTTCCTGATTCTTCAGCTTGGCATGTTGTGTCCTGATCTGCAATAAATATTGAAAATACAATGCCCACATTGAATGCCTTCACCCTTAAGCAAGTACTTCAGTCAACAAAGGCTGTTACAGTTATGCTATATCTCATCAAGTTCCTTACTAAACTTCACCGCCAAGCAAATTTCACCTCCAAGACACTTTTGCAAAGCTTATCACAAAGTCACCCACAAGAACCAATAAGGAGAGATCGTTGCCTTCACCGTAAAGAAAGACATCTCCCAAGCTGGTCATCTCTCCACTATATAAATAAATGTGTTAACCCAAAGGTATATATCTTCTTCTACATGAATAAACCTGCTTACACAAAATCTGACTTAAGCATTGGAGTGTCTTGCTGGTATACCCTCACTTTGTTCCAGTGATGACCCATGAGTTAAAGCTGCACCAACTCATTTGTATAGAGGAAGATCACATGATCAATCAAGATAAAAATGGTTCTAATCATGTTCCAAGCCAGCTTGAATGCTTGTGTATCATCAGAGACACCATCCCAACCGCACCAAAAGATCTTGCATTGAAAACAGGAGGTGCATTGACACTTGAGTTAACAACCTCAGGTGAAGGAGAAGGTGGTGATCAAATAAGGGATACTGGAACCTTAATTTCCTACTGGTATGATTACACGTCCATTTTATTCTAAGGCGTCTTTTTCAGTTTGTTGATGATGAAAAGAAAACCCCAAAGTGTGATGCAAAAGCTTAAAATCATTGTTGTTTTAATTGATGATGACATTAGCTTATGCAAAGTATCCAAATTTTCACTACTTACCCAGTTCTTGTAACTTGTTTAAAATGTATTTTTGCTTGCGATCTTTTTGCTTTCACCTTAATTTGGTCAGGCAACGAAAAGAGCGTATTATTCTTCCAAGTTTGTGGCGTAACAAATTATAACTAAGTTAAATGATTTTATTATTAAAAGAAAAAGACAAAAAAGCAATATGATATTATTATGAAGCTTTATTCATATAATTGTTTCTTATATAGTAGAGTGGTCTCCACCTAAATATTTTAATGGATGCCTTATTGTATCTTCTTTTACTAGGTGAAGATGTTGAATAATCTAGTCAAAAGAGAAAGAAAAAAAATATTGAATGTTTAGTTTTGCTTACAATATCTTCCTTTACACACAAACACCGCGAGTAATAATGGAAAGAAAATATCAAACTACCTTATTAACTTCTTATTTAAAGTAGAGAAAGAGAACCGAGGGATTTTAACATTTGAATAATAATAATTTTTATTTAAAAGTTAAGTTTGTACCTTCAGAGAGGCAGAAAACGGGAGAGTGACCATTTTGCCACGTTTGTAAAAAAAAATTACCAGACTGCCACGTCAACAGTAAATTTTGCCAAAATGCCACGCGGCAAATGTTGCAAGTAATTCGCTACACAGTGTAGCGAAATATGCCACGTCAGAAACCTCACAAGCAAAAAGTGTCATTCTCAAAATTGTTGAAATTCAGCAATTTTGACACATGGCACTTTTTGCTTGTGACGTGGCATATTTCGCTACACAGTGTAGTGAAATATGCCGCGTGGCATTTTGGCAAAATTCACTATTGGCGTGGCAGTCCGGTAAAATTTTTTGCCAAACGTGGCACAATGGTCACTGTCTCGCAGAAAACATCATATTCAGACTTTACCATATGGCAATTTATTTTACCATATTATATATTATATTAGTATACACTCAGCATGAAGATTAGATAATCGATTTGATCATAATTTAAGCGTTTGATACATCAAAACTCCAAATTAGATGGTCAGTGCAAGACAGGAGAAAATTAAAATAAAAAAGTCACGAAACACAGAGTCTTTGGTACACACAACAACTACAAGCATAACAGCATAACAAGACCAGAAGAAGGGCCTAGAAATATGAGGCTTTTTCGATCTATCCCCAATCCACAAAGGGAAGGTGGGGATAGCCACCCTCAGGTGGAGGCTGCAGCGATGGTGGTAGATTTCCCCATGACACTCCCATACTATCTCGTACCACATTCCCTGCACATCATATTACAAAAACAAAATTTAATATTTTACTGTCTGTTGGTTTCATTTGATTACAACTGAAATGGAACATGAAAAATTCAAATAGAAATAATATTACAGACCAATTGGTGGAGTTGATATTATAGGTTGTGGCTGCTGCATGTTGTTGGGGGCATTGGGATGAATGTATTTGCAAGAGTCGCCGTAACGGCAAAATCCCTAAAGATAAGAGCGAATCAAAATCAGTTGGAACAGATTGATAATTAATAATTAGTTGTGGGTGAGTGGCTGTAAATATTGAAATTAGATTCATACACTACATACCGTGTTGAGGAAGTGAAAGCAGAGGGGTTTAGGTGGGGGAATAGGTTGTTGGTGTTGGAGTTTGAAGGAATCGTACCAACGAGCTTTGGCTTGTTGATGCTGAATACCTCGAACGTGTCGTTTCCGATCCGCTGTTGTGTCTTGGAATTGCTTGTCGCAATAATCGCAGTAATACTTCCTCACTGGCATTCTCTCTCTCCACCGCCTTTCTCTTCAACGCTCAACGTCACCAGCATTGTACTAATCCCGTTTTCATTTCTTTTTAAATATTTTCAGCATAAAAATATTCATCTTTTGGGGGAAAAAAAAATTATTTTAAATTACACAACTTTGTGTCATTTTTTATAAAATAAATTACGTTATTTTGATGTGTTTTATAAGAATGTTAAAACACACCAAACGAAATAATTTCATTAAAAATGATATCTTTTTGTGTTATTTAAAATAATAAATATTTTTTTATTTTTTTTTTTTGTGATTAATTTATAGAGAATTAATCAGGTTAAATATATGTTGAAACTTTTAACATATGATAATTTTAGACAGTTGTAAGCACAATATTATGTTGAAAAGAACAAAACATAATATTTGAATTATATTATATACTTGATATATTTTAAATATAAAACAGAACATAACATGAGGTGAAAATGTAGTATTTTAATTTCATTAAAATCAAAGAGAACAACCATATAAAACCACCACCAAATAACCATAGACCCCTTAATCAAAGTAGTCAAGTTTGTTTACTGGGATTCAACTCTTGAGCCAACACAACATGGATTTCTCCCAACATGAAAGTGCTCCCTCGAACTTTCTCAGAAAGTCATTTAGTCTCAATTGATGAGAATATTTTTACCGCAAAAAGAAAGGGAGAAATAAATAAATAAATTAAACAGTTTGGCTATACAAGGCCAATACAATGTCTGTCACTGGCTAACTTATTTTCTTCTGGTATAAATGGCAACTACCTTAACCTGCTCAGATGTGCAGGTACATAGTCTTTGTACCGTAGCCATGAGTCATGCTTGCATATCCAAGTTTTTCAACAATATTGGCACAAGTCCTCCCATACCTCCAACCCCGAAAATAATAAAAAGGCTCAAGTCATTCTGACTGTTCCATTAAACAAAGAACGATCACTTTCATTCATGGAGATTAATATTCCTCAATACAGCAATCTATTCAAGACTATCATCACCAAGACTTGGTCCCATGTAGTTTCGCCAGAGATTATCAACACGGAGGGGAAAATAAACATATGCAGACAGATAAGGCCGTCACAACTTCCAACCATCATGCCAAGCATAACTAAATTAAACCAACAACCCATCATTGTTTCAACAAAAAACATACTAATACAAAGTTTAGATAATTGCAGACATTGGTTTTCTATTGCATGTTACAATCTGCTGTGATACAGGAAGCAGGGCATTCTGAATACCCATCCAGAGCTTTTACAGGGCAACCGAATACAACAAAAATACGAACAAATATCATATCATAAATAGAGGGAACGCGTAGCATTCATATGGAAACAACACTTGAAGTTTTGTTACATTTCACTGACATATCAAAGGCCAAGAAACGGGCATTGCTTCCTCGCATGCTCTGGAACCAATTTCACCAAAATCTCAACTGGGACTCCTTTCAGTTCTGGTACACAAGCACCGACAACATACAAAGTGTCAGCCGGAACTATCGATGAAAATGGAAAACCGGTGTCAAATAAACACATTAGCCTACTCCAAAATCAACGTACCGTGAGATTTAAAATTAAACAGTGGTGGGAGGAAACGACCATTTGGCAAGCGAGTGTTTGGGTCACGAAGCTCATCAAAGAAAGGATGGATCAAGGCATCTAACTGCACCACATAAAGCAAAAGCACACAAATTATATACATCCTCGGAGGATGAGAAACAACATTGAATAATTAGATTATAAACTTTAAAACAGCCAAACACAAACTTGCAGAACCATTACATGACAGAGGGAAGCACAATTTTTTTTTAAAGGTAGTTACTAAAGGTCTGCTAAGAAGTCATATACTCACAGCTGTGCACCGCAGGTTAGGGGAGTATTGTAGTAGCCTTGACACCAAATCAACAGCTTCTGGAGGCATGCGCTTATGGAAGATCTAGTAAAAGAAAACCAACAAATATATATTAGTGAAGTATGCTAATTAGGAGTTTTAAATATATTCTTATGATGAGCTTCAGAACTAAGCATGAAATGCTAATAGATTTATTTATAATACCTTGTGCCATGGATGTGCTTTAATCTGTGGGAATTTAAATTCTGTATAGTTAGGGTTCATGCATTTAATTTCTTCCCTTGTTGGAGTGCCCAGAACCTATCAAAACAAACAACATATGGATTATTTACATAAGATACTGGCATTATGTAAATAAGCAAGAAAACCCAAGTAGATCAAGCTCAAAAATGGGAATGCAATGCAAATAAGGAAAATATTGCAGCAATAATTGAAGAAATTAAAAATGTCACAGATTACCTTGATAATCTCAACAAGCTGATCAACTCCACTCTCACCGGGGAACAATGGCTGAGAAAAGCAAATACAAATTTCAATTAAGCATTCTAAATCACAAAAATAAAAAGCTCACTTCAACAGCCACCAACCTGTCCAAGCAACAGCTCAGCTAAAACACAGCCTACAGACCAGACGTCAATGGCTGTAGTATATTCAGTTGCTCCGAATATAAGCTCAGGTGCTCTATAATATCTAGAGCATATGTACGATATATTTGGTTCACCTTTTACCTGTCAAAGGTCAGACCAAATAAGGAAAAAGTCTAAACTAGGACAGCAGAAGGTTGAAGAGGAATGATCGATGAAGGAAGAGGTAGAAATGCACACAGATAAATAACATACCAAGACTTTTGCACTTCCAAAGTCACATAATTTAACCTGGTGAGTGTGTGGATTGACCTGCATAAACAAGCAAGCAGTTAGTATTTTCCACCCAACAGTCTTGACACCATAGTTTGAATTAGCTGTTTCTGTCTTTTAGCCACTCTAAACACAGCCATAATATGAAGCATGAGAACTAGAACAAAAAGAGAAGAAATTATTGATTAGAGGATATATGCAAAGGTCATACCAATAGATTTTGAGGCTTGATATCCCTGTGGCAGACTCCAATGCATCGATGAATATAAGATAATGCCCTAAAGATCTGCAATGTATCCAAAAAATTGTTACAGCCACAACAATAAGAAAGCTGAAAACAGGCAGGGCAACCCAGCATACCTGGTATGTGTAGAGTTTCACATATATCATCGGCATCCTTTGGTTCAACTTGTTGTAATGTTTGATCACGCGATGAACTGTTTCGGGAACATACTCCAGTACCAAATTAAGGTATAGTTCATCCTTTTCAGTGGTTGAAAAGAAACAGTGCTTCAAAGAGACGACATTTGGGTGGTCAAGAAGGCGCATTGTTTGCAGCTCACGATTCTTGTACCTCTTGTCTTGAAGAACCTTTTTGATAGCCACCGTTTCACCAGTTTCCAAGCATTTAGCCTACAAATGATGAAAAGGCATCATAAGTCACTATAACGGCTAAAGTAACACCTCATCCAGTAGACCGGATATATATTGTTACCTGGAAGACAACTCCAAATGATCCATGTCCTACAACACGCTCTGCCATGTAGCTTATAGTCTGAAGTACAAAGAAAGATATAAAATTATCATAAGCTCTACAGTAACAAAAATATCAAAAAATGAGAAAAAAACAACTAGAATAGACAGTTAAAGAAAATGTGTAGAATATGATAAAACCACACCATATGATATTACCACCCTATCCAATAATATCTCACAGAGCTTCATCAATTAGTAACCAATTGGTGAGGATACTTGCCAATAACGAGACACAACACAAACATGTGAAACATGGCGAATAATTATAATAGTCACTTTAAAAATATTGTAGTCAACAAGCAGTAGAGCTGGCATAATATCCAAATCTTGAAAGAAAAAAAAATAATTCAAGCACAAATACAATTATTCTCAATTCAAATATACAACATCAACATCACTGCTGCTATAGAAATTGGGGGGGTAACATTTACACACATAATAATATCAACTGGAGCATTAATTGTTTATGGCCTTACAAGCAGCATGAGGTAAGCACATCAAGCGACACAGTGCAAGAGTTAAATTATTTCAAACCGCATATGTAACTGATAGTTGAAAAAACAAAGGGAGAAGGTATACCTGCTTCGGCTGACCATTTCTACCCCCAATAGTAGTCACAATGATATGTCCTGTCTCCGTTCCATTGCCATCAACAACTGTAGCTTCCATTTCCTACGAAACGAAGCAAGTTATAAGTAACCGTGTCGGAAATTTAAAATCAAGCGCACACACACACAAAAAAATAAAAAAATAAAAAAGAATAAGTAAAAGTGGGAAGAATTAAGAGAGTGGGGGACATACTCTATCATCCCCAATTTTCATATCGTTCATCTCTTCTGGCAATCTATCAACACCTGCAGCTGCATGACCACTGGCTTCTCTCAACTCTGAAGATGGTGCCACACCAACCGACGCCATCTTCTCTTAACTGAAAATCCCTTTCTCGTTTAACTGCTCAAAAACCAATCATTTACCTGCCAGAATGAAGAATTTCACCATAATCAAAAAAGGTCTCTTTTTTATTAATTTTGAGCATTAATTAGAAGCAAATTTGGAGTTCATAGACATGGAAACTGAACCCAATAAGGAAAGTAGCACTGTTCAGAAAGCAAACATGAATTAAAGAAATAAACAATTGCAAATCCATTTTGACCCATAAATAAATACCCATTTTGCCAACAAAAAAAAAATGTTGAAAGAATATCAAAGATCCATCAATCCCATGGAACAACACAAATCCAACGGAAAAATCATCGTTGAAATCAACATAAATTTAAAAAAATAAAAATAAGTATATATAAATCCCCTAAAAAAACCTAAACCGAAGATCCCCGTAACCGAACGCGAAACAAGTCGATCCACATATACAAAACAAAAGTAACGAACATAACGAGTTAGACACATACAAAAAAACAAACAAACAAAAACATCAGTTACATCGAAGAGAAGATGAACAACAAAATTCAGGAGAAAAAAAAAAAACTACGATGTAAAAACCATTAAAATAAAATTAAAAAACAAAGGAATATAGAGAAAGGAAATCTACTGCTTGTTATGAAAATGAAGGAGGCGATGATGGAAAGATCAGAGAGTTAGATCCAAAGCCATGAAAGGGTTGTTTGGTTTTGTGTGAGCGAGCGTAACAGTTCTCTGCTTTTTTTGTGTGGTGTGCTATAATGCGCTGGTGACAGTCAAACAAGAACACCATTCTATTTATTTATTTATTTTTTAACTTAAAAAACAATTATATATTTTCGGGTAAACCAAAAAATATAAAATAGAAAAACTCTTGTTACGAACATGAAGTGAAGCATGGTTCTCTTCACTTTTGACCGTTCAAACTTCAAACTTCAAAGTCACTGTATTTAATTGGTAACAATTATTAATTGAACAGAGGAGCAAATGCTTTTTGGCGCCTACATTCATGTGCGCTCTTTCTTTTTTCTTTCTTTTTTAATCATAAAAAAAGGGCTTTGTTATTCTAATTAGAGAGAAAAATATTAAATTATTGCCATTAAATTAATGACTAAATTACGGTAATATATAGATGTATATCAAATAATGAAGTTAAAATTTATTTAGTTGATTTTTCACGATTAAAAATTTAATTTTTTTAAAAAATATAGAGTAAACACCCTTTTTAGTCCCTCGCAATAACTACGAAGTCCTTTTCAGTCCCTGGCAATAAAAAAGGACCAAATTGGTCCCTGAAAGTACCAGAAAAAGGCCACTCTACATATTTGAGAGTTGACATAAGGACTAACATGACCCTTTTTTTGTAATTTCAGGGACCATTTTGATCCTTTTTTATTGCCAGGGACTAAAAATAACTTCATAGATATTGACAGGGACTAAAAAAGATGTTTACTCAAAAATATATCAGTGACTTTGAAACAGTTATATTCTAGATATCATAATTATTTAGAACAATAACGTATGAAAAATTACAACGGGTAACAGCATAAATCAATCATCTTCAATGAATGATTTAACAGTTTAATCTATAAACCATGAATGTGGAACTTGTCGTGTTAAAAAAAATGACACAGATATATGTGAAATCATAATTATACAAGGGCATGTTTGGTGCATAATATAGAATAAGGCCTGTTTGGTGTGACGTATAAGGCATGATAGTATAAGCTTATACTATACGTTATGACATTTTTAGTTGTTTGGTGTGACCACCGTATAGTATAAGCTTACACAGCATAATCTTTTAATACATCAAAACGATGTATAACTTAATCTGGCCTAATGGTGAGAGATAAGACCTGATAAGAGATTGATGTATTAACATCGTTGACCAATGTAATTCTCAAAAATTAATATATTATTTTAATATTAATCTATTAAAATAAAAATTTATTTTTCAATATATTAAGTTTTAAAATATTGAATACTTTTATTTTTATAAAAATTAATTTATATTTTGGACAGATCAATAAATTTTTATAAAAATTAATATCATATGACATTTTTTGAAAAATTATATAAATTCTTTATTAAAGGATATTTTTATTAAAAATATTTATTTTTATCATATATAGTATTATACTGTACATTACCAAATATTAGATGATATTATCTTATACAATATATTATTTTATACAATACCGTGTCAAACGCTTAATAGTATTAAAATTCAATCAGGTCTTATACAATCAGGCCTTATACTATCAGGCCTTATACTATCAGGCCTTATCATATACTATGCACCAAACATGCGTTTGGCACGGTATTGTATAAAAATAATATATTGTATAAGATAATATCATCTAGTATTTGATAATGTATTGTATAATACTATATAGGATAAAAATAAATATCCTTTAATAAATAATTTATATAACTCTTTAAAAAATGTCATATGATATTAATTTTTACAAAAATTTATTGATCAGTATGTCCAAAACATAAATTAATTTTTATAAAAATAAAAATATTCAGTATTTTAAAAATTAATATATTGAAAAATTATTTTTTATTTTAATATATTAATATTAAAATAATATATTAATTTTTGAGAATTACACTGATCACTGGTCAACAATGTTAATACACCAACCTCTTATCAGGCTTTATCCCTCTCCCTAGGCCGGATTAAGTTATACATCGTTTTGGTGTATTAATGGATCTTGTTGTATAAGCTTATACTATACGATGGTCACACCAAACAACTGAAAATGTCATAACGTATAGTATAAGCTTATACTATCAGGCCTTATACGTCACACCAAACAGACCCTAAAGGTAAATCAATAGTAATAAAAGAAGAAAAAAATACTAAAATAAATAATTACAAAATCATAATCGTTGATTTACCTTTATATAATTGTGATATTCTCACATGACATAATTATGTATTTTTTTATATTAAAGGATCCATTTTCATAAAGAATTTCATTAATTCTTGTAACTCCCAATAAACATGTAATTTTGGGATGAAATGACATAATTTTATATCATGTGATATGACAAACAATTTTAATATATAAAACATTGTTTAAGAACCATTTTGATTATCAGAAAAATATTTCTGTAGTTACTGCAGATAAGTTATATGCATTTACTCCCAAACGACATTGTTTTGAAATTTGAAAGATTAAAAAATTATAATTATAAAGACTATAATAACCCTGAAATAAATTAAAATTACAAAAACATCATGACTTCCCCCCAAAACGACGTCGCATTGGACTTATTGCAGATAACTTATCTGCAGTGACTACAGAAAAAAGCGAACCCTTTGATTATTGGGTAAAATATATGGGTTATGTTTATCTCATTTTACATGAGATAAACAACTTTTCTACACACACAAAAAGGGAGTTGGGTCTCACCACTCTTTTTTCTCTATCTTCTTACTTGTGGTCTCACTTATACTTTTATTTCTACAACACGAGGTAATTTTTTTCCTACAACATAAGAAAAATATATCCCAAAATATATATAACCAATCATAATAAACTATTGAAGAAAGCCAAATGTTAACAATTTTTATTAAAGATTCAAAAAACGTAAAGTATAAAATAAAAGTAATATTTAATAAATTTTTAATGTATGAAATATTATTTATTTTTTAAATCCTTTTAAAAATTGTTGGTTTCTTAGCAAATCGATAGGAAGATCTTTAATGGAAAATATAAATTTTAAAATGGCAAAAATATTTTTTATGATGCTGCCATATTGCTTTCCTCATGTCAATCTCACTTTGTTTTTTGCATTATTTGTTTTTATTTTTACAAGGTGAACCCTACCTTCTTTTTCTCTCAGCTGCAAAATTGAATATTTCCTCTGAATGGAGAAGTTGAACCCATTTTAAAATACTTGATAATGTTACTATCCTTCTAGCCTAGGTAACTGAATTGAAAAATAAAAAATATAAACATTTATGGGTAGAGTTATTTAATGATAAAACTTAGGAGAGAGGATGCAGCGCCATTCATTGTACGGGCACCTGAGAGAATATGCCACGGTATTTTTATGTCGCTCAAGGACGGGAAATGGAATTTGTAAGCCAACAATTTTAATAGAAAGACTATAATTCATTGACACGTCTTCAGAATTATTGTCATTGAATTATATAGATTCGTATAGAAAATTAGTTTACAATTAATTATTTTATAATAAATAGTTTAATTATGATATAAAAATATTATGTGTGTTCATTAACAATCCAAACAGATTCAAATTGGGGTGACCAAATCAAAAAATCAATAACCGAAAATCAAAAATAGTAAAAAATTACATATTTTAATTGGATTGGGTCAGTTTCAGTTTAATTAGTGAAAACCGATACAATGTATTATTTATTTATTACTTTTGAAATTCTGCTAATGTCTTTTTCCTTAATTCAATAATCCTTATTCAGTTATTCCTATAGTTTCAAACCTTAGAGTAGATTATTCCTAAATTCACACCCACCAGTAGGGGTGTTAAACGAGTCAGGGGCCTTACAGGGGGTCTTTGGCTCGGCTCGTGAAGACCTGAGTTTACATGTCTAAAATTGATTGTTGGACCAAGGCTTGAATTTGTATAAAAACTTGTTTAATAAAAAGGCCTCAGGCTCCAGTTCAAAAGTTTGGCCTCAGAGACTCTCAGGCTTGCCTAATATTTTTATTTTTAATTTTTTTTAATTTTTTTATACTACTTGTGATAGCACTCTCTCTTCTCAATTCATTTCATCCCATTTTATTAATTAAACAGATTTTTTGAATTATTTCATTTTATATTATGCTATTTGGATATACATTAAATTTATGAATATTTATGGAATTACTAGTGCTGTTGATTGTAGATTTTGTTTGGGTAAATTTTTGTTGTCTTATTCTTTTAAAACAGGCTAACACGCTAAACCAGGTTTTTATTTTTTGTAAATGAGCCAGGCCACAGGATGATATTATATTCGTAACAGGTAACAGGCTAAGGCCGGCCAGTCTGACACATTTGAACACAGGCTCGGCCCATTAAGACCAAAGCTCAGCTCGACTCGTTAACACCCCTACCCACCAGCACCGCACCTCTTCTGTCTGAAGAACCCATTTTCGTTCTAGAATCCAGAGGCACCCTCTATCACACAGTTGTCGTCGTCCCTTCTGTTTCCCTTGTGCGACAAGCCGACACTAACTCGCCTCCATCGTTGTCGTTGTCCCTTAAAGAACCAACTTTCAAATCATCCTTTTCAATCCAGTCTATGGCTTCGTCGCCATCCCTTCTTTTTCTAGTCTGCATTTCCGCCACCGTCCCTTTCTGTTCAAGTCTACGGCTCTGCCGTCGTCTTTTTCGTTAGGTTTCGGAGCCGAGCAGGTGAAGAGTTGTTGCGTTGTGATTTTTCAGATATGTGTCACTTCCTGTTCCGTTTGGTTTTGCATATGATATTTTTCTTTCATAAGTGCATGGGTGAGGATTTGTTGTCGTGTGTTATTAATATCTCGTTTACTAATTTGTAGGCTCTGTGTTATTAATATACTAAGCAAGCTGAAAAAGAAGTGAATGGTTCGTTTGGTAGACAAGATAGGATAAGTGTAGGACATGATACGGGACTGATAAGGGTAAGATACGATATGGGGCTGAGAAGCCTATATCATATATTGTGTTTGATGAGCACCTGATTAGCAATATGATAAGATTATGTAGAAGAAGAAAGGAGAAAAAAAAACAAAATATAATACAATAAATACAAATATATTGGGTAG